TCCTCTCCTCTTTTTTCTTTTTTCTCTTTTCTCCATTTTTATTCTTTCTTTTCACTCCATTTTCCCCCTATCCTCTCTTTCTCCTCCTCACAAATTCTCTATGTTAGGCTGTTTATGTCATCTGGATATTTTTAAAGGTACTGTCCCTTGAGCAGTATTCATGTTGACAAATGTTGAAAAGATATGAATGAGAATGAATATCTTCACAATTCAAGACATGTATTTGACCGGTTTCGAATATATCTTCGTCAGAGATACGTATATCTGACGAAGATATAGACGAATCTGAAAAGATATAGAGAATGGTCAATCTCTACGTTTTGAGATGTTCATTCTCATTCATACCTTTCAACAACAATGTCTCGTCCTTAGGCTATCAAGAGAAAATTGAAGGTGATTTTTTTGTGCCATTTCATCGAAGTTATTTAGTGTGCGACCCTAGGCTATGTTAGGAGTGTTGAAAAATCCATCTGGCTGTAGTGCTTTGAGATCATATGCTTCACTAACAACGTTATATAAACCAGCCGGTGGTTTTAACACCCCATAGCTTCAGCCTTTTTTTTAAAGCCTTGGAAGTTGATGCAGCTGCCATCTCTCTTGCACTCTGCAAACGCATAACAATTTGTTTGCTGCATTCTCTATATATAACAAGAGAGAGAGAGGGTTGGTGGGGGGGAGCCTAGAAGTTGAGAAAGGGAGGGAGAAGGAGAGAAGGAGGGAGAAGAGACTGAGGGAGAGAGAGAAGGAGAGGTCAGATAGAAAGAGAGAGGGGAAGGGGGGAAGGAAAAGAAGAAAGAAGAAAAGAAAGAGAGAGAGAGGAAGAGTAGTGAGGAGAGGGAGCGAATGAGGGAGGGTGAGAGAATGAGAGATGAGAGAAAGAGGGAGGGAGAAGAGGAGAGGGAAAGGCAAGGAGGGAGGAAGGGAAGAGAAAGAGGAGAGAGAGGGGGTGGAAGTGAGACAGAGAGTGGGGGGAAGAGAGAAGAGAGGGAGAGGAAAGGAGAGGAGGGAGAGAAAGAAAAGAAAAAAGAAAAGAGAAAGAGAGAGTAGGGAGTGAGGGAGAGAGAGAGAGGGGGAGAGGGTTATTGAAAGAGAGAGAGAGAGAGAGAGAGAGAGAGAGAGAGAGAGAAGAGAGAGAGAGAGAGAGAGAGAGAGAGAGAGAGAGAGAGAGAGAGAGAGAAGAGAGAAGAGAGATTCATTCACTCACTCACTCACTCTTTTCTCCTTTCTCAGAGAGGGTGAGAGAGAGAGGGGGGGAGAAGGAGAGAGGGAGGGAGAGAAATAAATATAAAAAGAAAGAGGAAGAGAGTGAGAGAGATTCATTCACTCACTCTTTTCTCTTTGTTCTTTTCTTCTTACTTCATGCCTTCCCCTTCTCCCCTCTTATAAGTGCATGTCAAAATATTATTAAAGTGACACTTAAAAAAAACACCACAGATTAAACTAAACTTTTTCTCCTTCTTCTTATTATATTATTATTATTATTATTGTTATTATTATTATTATTATCATTATCATCATCTTTTTTAACCATTGAGGTTATAATTAGAGAGAGAGAGAGAGAGAGAGAGTTTATGATATTTATGTCTTAAACTCTGATAGGAACACCAATGGACTGCCAGCCCAAGAGTAGAGTAGCATCATAGTATTGCACTTGCGCTGTTGCCTCATTTGCTGTACATGCCTTTATGGGAACAAAGAGACACTCCCTCTTTCCTTTTTTCCGGGTAGTGTCGTAGAGTGCCTTGGCGTAGTGATAAACGATATCTCTTACTTTGTTCTGCAGAAGCTTTGCCTACCTGACCATAAAGGACCGTCTGCCAGTCATCCTCACCAAAGTCATTGATTTTCTCTGCCGTGAGAAAGTGTCCATAGGAAAGCAGTATGGAGAGGTAAGACTGTTTGTAGAGGGTGAGGCGATTGAATCGGATAAGTGAGAAATACAATAGGGATTTGTCCGGTAGTCGGCTTGGAGTGTTTTGCTCAAGGCAGTGAAATTTATCCCGTTCATGGTATGAACTTGCAGCTCTTAACTTCCCCGTATCTTTCCAGGCAGCTCAGGAAGGATGCAAGGAGGTTATTGGTAGACTCTCGCAACTCAAGAACGAGATGCAGACCAACAAGCCTTTCCGGATACTGCAGGCGGATCCCTCAGCATCTCCCCATGGTATTCAAGATGCTTAGGTTTTCTTGATGGTAACCATTAATCTTGTAGTTACAGTGTGCTGAGACTCATCAGCTCTTTGCAGTCTTAGTGCCTTGTTTCATTAGTGTATTTGTTAATAATCATTGAAAGTTTTTAAACAACATGTGAATTCCTAGCATTCATATCTTGCCATGAGATGGAGTTTATAAAGGGTAGATTGTAGTTATTATATTTATGTGTATTTAGTCCAGATCTTCATTCAGAAGGAGTTAAATTAATAATGGAAGTTGCAGCGGCCAGTAAGAATCATCTGAAAAAAATTTAATGTGATGACAGATAATGGAGAGCCTTCAGAGCCTTCTCTCTCTCTCTCGATCTCTCTCTCTCTCTCTCTCTCTCTCTCTCTCTCTCTCTCTCTCCTCTCTCTCCTCTCTCTCCCTCTCTCTCTCTCTCTCTCTCTCTTTCTCTCTCTCTCTCCTCCCTCTCTCCTCCCTCTCTCCTCTCTCTCTCTCTCTCTCTCTCTCTCTCTCTCTCTCTCTCTCTCTCTCTCTCTCTCTCTCTCTCTCTTCTCTCTCTCTCTCTCTCTCTCTCTCTCTCTCTCTCTCTCTCTCTCTCTCTCTCTCTCTCCTCTCTTCCTCTCTCTCCTCTCTCTCTCTCTCTCTCTCCTCCTCTTCCCTCCCCTCTCTCTCCCTCCTCTCTCCCCCTCTCCTCTCTCTCTCTCTCTCTCTCTCTCTCTCTCTCTCTCTCTCTCTCTCTCTCCTCTCTCTCTCTCTCTCTCTCTCTCTCTCTCTCTCTCTCTCTCTCTCTCTCTCTCTCTCTTTCTCTTTTTCTTTCTTCTTCTTTCTTTTTCTCTCTTTTTCTCTTGCATTTATTGTGTTTATTTTTAGCAGTATCAGTAAAAATGTTTTTATATGAAAGTTTGGATGCCTAAAACTCCTAAACTTCCTCCTCAGATGATTCCGATGAATACAACCGGGAGCTGGAGAAATTTACCATTGAGAACGAGGACCAGCCCAAGTGGTTTACTGCCCCCTGGCTCTACGCAGAGTGCTACATGTATGCCAGAATTCACGAGGCCTTCTATTTGTGGTGGGTATTGCCCAGGGATTGTTGATTACACTTGCCAAGATAGACATGGAAAAGAGAGGTTGGTTTAGAGCAGTAATCAACTTTTTAAATTTTAATACAGTAATCTACATAGCCCTGTTCAGTGACTGTCAGATATAGTTATTTCTAGTTATGAATGGTGTAATGGTATCTGTAGCTACAGGACAAGAACGCTTTATGAGAAGATTCCAATTTATTGATATGTGAGAGACAATTATGTGTAGGTACTGAAGGGGAGATAAAATTCAGTTTAATTGGATAATTTTCATGTTGCTCCATAGCCCCCAGGTTGAAAAAGAAGAAAAAAATTATCAACCCTTATCAATTTATTTGCTACTTTCATTATATTTTTTGACATTATGGGCTAGTGCCTGTATAGCTCATTCAGGTGTAATTTTGTGAAGTTAATATGTTAGATATAATGGTAAGAATATGTATTTTTTTCTTTCTTTCTTTCTTTCTTTCTTTCTTTCCATTAAAACCTTTTCTATGATGGAAAGAATTTTCTGTTGCTTCATTATTGCTACAAGTCATAATTTCTAGATATTGCAAGATTTTGTTAAATTTGCTGGGCATCGAAGAATGACCCCACAGAATATAATCAGTGAACTGAAAACAAAGAGAAGAGCCTCCTAGATTGTTATCAGTAGAAGTGTTAAAAGCACTTGATTAATATCATATTCATTCTGTATGATTACAGTTGCAGCTCATGTGAATTAGACTAATCTGACTCTCCCCATGGCAGTGATCCGTTGAGGGGATTCGACCCGTTCCTGGTGCAGAAGCAGAAGGCTCTCGTTGACTCTAAGACGGCTGTGGACTGCCTGACTAAACGGGTCGTGACAGCGTGCAACTCTGTCAGTAATTTTACACAACAGTTACTTAAGCAGTATGTCATTCAGCTCCTGGAGGTAAGGGCCATGCCAATGGAAAAGAAGAAAAAAGAAAGAAAATGTGTATAGAAGAAGTAGTTTTTGTTTTTGTTATTGTGTGTATATAGACACTTGTTTATATTTCATTGATAACCTTCAGTTGCTGAGAAAGGAAATTATAAGTAGCCATTAACCCCTTACACTTAGGGGGTGTCAACCACAGAGTCAGCCAAGGTACAGGCTTGCTGCACTTGAGTGGCTGTGTGTGAGATCACAATGTACCAGTTTAGTATATTCAGTCAGTATGCAATCTGGTTTCTATGTGCCTTATTTACTGAAATGTGAAAAAGTAAAAGAGTTATCAGACTACTTTGGAAAGCTTTGCTTGAAGATGCACTGCATTTGATTTTTCTTTACTCTTTAATATGCCTTGAAGAATGTAATCAAAGCCATGCAAATTGACAAGACCGTCTTGATGTCCAGACTTGGACCAAAAACTTTGCTGCAAGTACACTTTTGATGCTTGAGTGTAGTGAGATGAAGTTGAGTGTCATCCTTTTTGTCTAACAAATGTTTTATCATAATTTGTATATCTTCTGCCAGAGCTATACACAGTCAGAAACCTGAGTGATTCTCTCTACCTTATGAATTCATTATTAACTCTGTAATTATAGCCTTATTTTTTCTCATCAAGTTTGATTTACGAAAAGCAGCCAGCATTTGACTTTTTCAGGAAAAGTAAGTATGCTTTGAGATGCAGAGAAAAACTCGGAGCTAAACTTGCGATCATTTCCCAGAGAAGACTCGCCTGGGAAAATTTACATTATTCAAAAGAAGTAAATTTTATGACAAAAGCATAAAGTCATTGAAACATAATATGAAAATGTATAATGTTTATAAAATGTTTCCCCATTTTATATATAGGATCTGAGAATAATCCACAACCACTGACTCCTGCCATTACCCTCATACCCAGTCCATCAAGAGGTTGATAGTACCACATTTGACTTGCTGAGGTCGACTCGTGTGACCGACCTTCCCTTATCTAGGCATTCCCTCTGCTCCAGTGGTTCTTAACCTTTTTCCAACCACATCCTCTTTAGGAATTTGTCCTTCCCTCCATGCCCCCTTTGCATCTGGGAATAAAAGTCCCTCCCAGATTTTAAAGAAAAGGATTAATTGGTTCTGAGACTTTTTATTGAGTATGAGTTAGGCACATTATTGATAAATCTCTCTTTATTTAACTATGCTCTCGATAAGAGAATAACAAATATGATTGGAGAAATTCCTGTTTTTTCCCTAGGGCTTGTTCCCCCTTTGGAAATTACTGATGCACCCAAGGTTAAGAACCAACTGCTCTACACAATACACTTACTCAGAACTCATTGGCAAAAGCACCTTATTAGTTGTAAAGACAGAAAACAGCTGCATCCTTGGTTAATGTCTGCTCTTACAGCTTTAATATTTGTGTTAAATAGTTTGTCTTAAATTATCAATAACTTCTGCATCACTGATATTGGCATTTCTCCTGCAAGGTCTGTCTATGGGGTAACAGGTGCGACCTTAGTATATCTGGTGGTGCGGACAGAGCGCAAGAGTCTGATATCTTCAGTTCACTAGACAAATTGCGACCGCAGATCCTCGACAACAATGCTGACTTGCTTTGGCAGCTCTTAGTTTCCCTTCCTGAGGACCAGAGAGATCTAGGTTTGTGTTCACTTATCGTGCTTTGATTGCTCGATTTAAGTAGCTGCAGTTTTGGGATTAATTGTAGTATTATTATTTCATTTGATTTATCTTTTCTGAAAACCTTTCATGGCTCATAATAAGTAATGAGGATCTTAACAACCTAATTTTACATATTTAGACTGTTATACAAAAGTTAATCTTTCAGTAACATAATGATATGGTGATTTGGGCTTCAGGATATTACTGATGCAAGTCACAATAATGATTAAGAATGCTGGACGTATATTGAAGTAGTTTACTGTCCCAAAGTTTAAGCTCTTGGCAGTTCTGAGTCTAAAAAGATGAAATATGCTTCCTGTACTCAGTTGTAACTATAACTCTTTACTTAGAGATTTTACTGAATGACATTTTATGTAGTGCAAACCCAGTGGGTGCAGTTTTATGTGTTTTTCATTGGGTTAATATGTGCTCAGACCTGATCGTCATTCCCCTAGTTGAAGAAGCTGAATAACTAGTTTTTCTAGTGCAGTAAATTTTCCCCAAATTTTGCTGCTATTTTCCTTTGTAGATATTTATTGTTTTCCTCTAGAGTAATTGTCCAATTCTCTTTTATTTGTTGGTTGCTGAAGAGGCATTTACAGCTGATATAAATTAATGCATTTTTTATTCTTGGAAGTATAGCTGTTATGAGGTTGCCTTGAGGTCATGTTAGGATGTACAGCTGGTTTGGACAATTGAAATATTCTGATGGAATATACTGGCAGAATTATTCTGCTTATTTCACCTGCTTTTTTTTTTCTTTTCTTTTCTTTTCTTTTCTTTTTTTCTTTTTTTCTTTTTTCTTTCTTTTCTTTTCTTTCTTTTTTTCTTTTCTTTTCTTTTTTTTTTTTTTAATTCTTTTCTCATGTTTAAGGAAAAATTAATGGGATTTATTTATATGATTACGTCCCAAATGGCCTTCTTCTTTCCCTCCAGTGTTAGTGTTAGACAATGCCGGGTTTGAGCTGGTGAGTGACCTTTGCTTCCTGACCTTCCTGATGGAGTCGGCGCTGGCCACGTCCGTCACCATACACACCAAGACGCGGCCATGGTTTGTGTCGGACACCTTGCACTCGGATCTGATGTGGACCATCGAGAAACTCAGGTGCGGAGCCAGAGGAAGCGCAAGAGTTTTTGCTCTGGTTATTTGTTTTTTATTTAAGGTTTTCAGTTTTTGTTATTGTTTTCTTGTTTTTGGATTTGTAAATAAAAAAGAAGGACTTAAAAACAAACAAACAAAAAATGTAATCATCCTTTTTTCCTCATTTTATTGAATAATTTATTTCATTTCTTACTCTTGCGGCAGAGAGTTTGGAGACTCCAATGCCGAAATGGCCAACAAGTGGGCGAATTACCTCTCCTCCGGCCAGTGGAAGATTAGCGAGAACAAATTCTGGACACAGCATCATGACTTTGCCTCCATGAACGAGGTTGACCCACGGCTCTATTCGGAGCTCTGCAAAGCGTCCTTAGTTATATTTAAGGTATGAGATCAGCGGGGCTGTAGGGTTTTGTGTCAAGAGAATGAAAGTTGTGTTACGACTGTTTTTGATTATCTATGTGTATAGAATATTGCCCATGAAAATATTAGGGCCTGCTAAAGGAAATTAGATGCCATTAGGGTTTAATCCCCCCCATCAGTGAATCATT